TTACACGTAGGTTGTCAATTTAGCTAAAGCCCTTTCGTACTTTACTTCACCTAGTCTTTATGAAAGTGCGTGGGAGCACGGGGCGTATCCGGGGAATAACAGCAAGCCACTAGGCCCACGTCGATAAGAGTGGCAGAAAATAACACACACACTTGATCTCAGGGACGCACTTAGTTTACCAATCCAGAAGGATGCATTTTGATTATTGGCATTAATGAAAGTTGCTTGGTTAGTTTAACACAAGAAATGGGTAGGAGCAGGATTTTCGGGCGATTCTCTAAACGACATTGAGAACCACCCAGATGACGGATGCCTGCACACTCAGTAGTTCATTCCTGCATAAAATAAAACTGTTACTAACGATGAGAAAGGAACAGCTGCAATATAGTGGATGTGGCTATGCCACGGCACTGCACCATATCATGGCTGGCCGCACCAAGTTGACATGGGTTGGGAATAGCATCTGGAAAGGCATGGCTTTCCAGGAGGTTAGACAGAGGTGGTGAATTACAGAAAAATATGGAGAGGCATATTTGTGGACAACACATGATTTGTGCTGAATTCTTTTTCTAACAACAGCACACTAGATGTATCGATGAACTCGCAAATTAAGTTGAGCACGAGTTTCTTGCGTTGGAGCATTAAATAGCGGTTTAGATCTGCTACCTTAGAATGGTAATTCTAACACCATGATAGTTAGCTGAGTGAAACGTGAAGAGAACTTGCAGCAGATAATCTCATATACTTTTGTGCAATCAGCTTCGCTACGTATAACTCAAAAACAAAATTAATAGGCAGTTGAATTTACAGGATGTATACTAAATAGTCGAATATAGCAGAAGTAGGTAGATTTGAGTTGAGTTTGGTTGCAGGTAAACGAAACTTGAATTAGTCAAGCATATATTGAGGAACTATTTCCCTGTCTTACATGAAATGCAGAAATGTAGTTGCTTAAAACAATTGAATTGTAAACTCATTAAAAATGTAAAAAAATGTAGGAAACGTCGAATACGTTGAATTTTTGAAAGTACTTACTTATAACCGATCAGAGTT